GGATTATTGGAATATTTTCTTCCCTTTAATATAAAATTCATAATTTCCCATTTTCCTAATTTAAATTTGGTCAAGATCCCATTTTCTTAATTGAAGAATAATACTAAAAATGTGTAATTAAGGAATAATATAGTTGACACAATCAATAAATATAAATATAGAAAATGCTTTGGGAAAGATATCTGAGAATTTTCAAAAAATGCCACTTTTCAAGTGCCACTTTACAAAAATGTCACACTTTTGAAATCTTTACAAAAATGTTACTTTTTCAAAAAAAAAAAATTATATTATTTATGTTTGGGTTAACTATGTTCTATTAGGGTTTGGTTATGAGGATTTAGGGGGATTTAGGGGTCAAAACATTTTTTATTGTTTTGACTTTGAAGATATAAGGTTTAAAATTTTATAATTAGTGGTATTTTTGCAAATAAACACCCCTAAATGATATTTTTGCAAATGTAAACATAAAAGAGTGGTACTTTTGCAATTTCCCCAATATATCTTCTATTTATTTTTCTTTTTACTAATCCAATTTATTGGTTACGTAATACAGCAAGCGAACTTGATAAATACCTCTATTTGCACCCTAAACCTCAACTCTCCTACAAACCAAAAGAAGAAGAAAAAGACTGCAAAACCAAAATGGAGTCGAAAACATTTTCTCTCATTTTTCTCCTCTTTATTTTCATCTTATCTCATTTTTCGGTCTTAACTTCTAAAAGGATCCTAAACAACCCCTCAGTTTTGTCATCGTCGGCGAGTTTATGGAGCCTTAGTGCCGAGAGGCTTATCAAATCCTTCAATCTAATGCCTAAACTCGACGTCAATGTCATTGCAAAAGGAAACCCTGATGCTCCGAGACTCTTTGAGAGCCAATTTGATTTTCCGGCGAGAATTGGCGGCGGAAACGTTTCCCATGGTCCTTCAGTTCAAGAGTTTGGCCACTACGCCGGTTATTACAGCCTCCCTCGTTCAAAATCAGCCAAGTAAAATTTTAAACCGGTTTAAATCAGAATTGTTCTAATTGAGTTCGGTTTAATAGTTGGTATAGAAATGGATGCATTTAACCGATACGGTTTTCTGTGGTACTCTTCGCTGATTTTGGTTTTTTCACAGGATGTTTTACTTCTTCTTTGAGTCACGGAATAACAGTACCGATCCGGTGGTTATTTGGTTATCTGGTGGACCAGGCTGCAGTAGTAGTGTGGCTCTGTTCAACGAGAACGGTCCGTTTACAATCTCGGAGGATCTTTCTCTTTCTTGGAACGATTTTGGTTGGGACAAGGTTTGGTTTCGATTATAAAAAAATGTTTTTCTTGTTATTCAAGAAACTTATTTTATCTACAAGAAACCTATAATTCAACTAATTAACTTTTGTTTTCAAAAGGTATCCAATCTAATCTACGTGGACCAACCAGTTGGGACCGGTTTCAGTTATACATCGGACAGTAGCGATCTACGACACAACGAGGCTGGTGTTAGCAATGACCTCTACGATTTTTTACAGGTTGGATTGTTGTTTATATTCAAGAGAATCTCAAAAGAAATTGTTCTTTGAATTGTGATGATTTGGGTTTTAATCTATAAATTTTGGTAGGCTTTTTTCAAAGAGCATCCGAAATTCGCAAAAAACGATTTCTATATCACCGGTGAATCTTACGCTGGTCACTACATTCCGGCTTTTGCTTCACGAGTTCACACTGGAAACAAAAAGAAAGAAGGAATACCAATCAACCTTAAGGCAAGTTATCTTTCATTCATTTTGTTTTGAGGGGAAATTAATTGAATCAAACTATCGGGTTAATCTCAATTTAAATCAGGTTTTCTTTTTATAAATCAGGGTTTTGCGATTGGTAACGGTTTAACCAACCCAGAAATCCAATATGGTGCATATGGGGATTATGCATTACAAATGAAGTTGATCTCAAAGTCTGATCACGAGAGTCTCAAGCAAGATTACGCCGAATGTCAAAATTCTACAAAAACATGCAGTAATTTGTTTTTAACATTATTTTCTTTTGAATTTGTTCTACGATTTTTTTTTTTATATTTTTAAAAAAAAAATCTTACTTTGTGAATTTTAGATCTTAAGGGTGGTTTAACTTGCGATTCTGCTTACGAAGTTTGCACCAGCATCTTCAACCAGATAATGGCTAAACTAGAAAACACAAATGTAAGCATCTAAAACACGAAATTAATCATTCTTTTTTACGGGTTTTAAAGTTTATTTCCACTTACAAAGAGTTTCTTGGTTTTTATTTAGTATTATGACGTGAGGAAGAAATGTGTGGGAAGATTGTGCTATGACTTTTCGAAGATGGAAACATTTTTGAACAAAGAAAACGTACGAAAAGCTTTAGGAGTTGGAGATATCAAATTTGTGTCGTGTAGTTCTACAGTTTATAATGCAATGATGGAGGATTGGATGCTTAATCTTGAGGTCAAGATCCCGGCTCTTGTCGAAGATGGAATCAATCTCCTAGTTTATGCAGGAGAGTATGATCTCATTTGTAATTGGCTTGGTAAGATTGCTTATAACTCGCACAATATGTTGGCTATGCTTTTTAAATTGAAATTATGGTTTTGGTCAAGAGTACTATAGTTTCATTTTCGATTTATCTGGTTTTGGTAAAATTTTCAGGATTTAGAGTAAGAATATGAAGCAACATAGTTTGCACATTTTTGGTCTTTATCAGTTAGATTATGGTTCAGGTGAGTCTGATTGAATGATTTTATTTGGTATAAACAGGAAACTCAAGGTGGGTTAACCAGATGAATTGGTCAGGCCAGAAGGATTTTGGATCAGCCAAGGAAGTTCCGTTCCTGGTAGATGGTAAAGAAGCCGGTTTAATGAAAAATCACGGTTCTCTCACTTTTCTTAAGGTAAACCGAATACAATCAATAAACCAAACTGATCACTATAGGTATAATTTATCTAATACGATTGATCTTATACTTTCTTTGAA